AGATTTGCTTAAAGTCTTATTTTAATCGCCATGTGCTTGGCCTGACAAGAGATTACATGATGCATGGGGCACGCATGCCCGTATATGATGTGTCACGCTGGACATACCGTGACAACAGTAAGGTTGTAAACTTAATTAAACATGACATTAAATCCTTTAAGTTTGCACTAAAAAAGATATAAATCAACCAGTAATTAATATGGTTCAAGCAAGAGAATTAAAGGAAAGGTGCTACCAAAATTTCAACAATGTTTGAGAAAAGGTAATTAATTTAGTTAAGTTCTTGCATTGTATAGTTTCAGAAAATTTTGACCACTTCATATCTGAAGATCTGGAAAGGGTAAAGTTACTAAGTACTGTGATACCTAGGGTTTAGTTTAAAATCAAAATCATCTGACAAGCCTGGAAGAAGACGGAAGGGTAAAATTAAAGTTGCGTCAATTACAAGAAACAAGATACCGGGAAGCAGAGTCAATGTTTTACTGATCAAAAGCTTTCTCAAATGAATGTGGCAGGAATCTTTTTGTCACAACTGAGCTTGGGTCAAGCAAGTCATGAGCCAAAATAGCACCATATAGGGCCAGAAGTTCAAATCCACAGTATTGATTGAGTGTTGGGGACTGGCATAGGATTTCCAAGGCCTCTTAAATTCTCTTTCTGAAGTTGTTTTCTTCTCTAGCTATATATGACTGCCACCTTACTCTCTTCTAACTTGTGGTCTGTATCCCTAAAGTGTTCTCCAATGGCCGAAAGTGTCAATCTATTAGCGTTACAATGTTCCTTCAACTGGACATTTAAAAGGGTTGGGTGGTTTCTCCAATATAGATCTTTTCACAATCAGCAACTCTTATTTGTAGATGATGCCACACTTTTTTCCATCCGTTGTGGGACCTTTAGGATGCATGCACAGACTGTGATCTGAGGGTGTTGAAAGGTACATGGAAGGTGTTTACCCTGCCTGCAAAAGTCATGAGAGATTTTCTCGGAAACACAGGTACACACAGTCCTGCTCTCTGGCTCTCCCTCAGCTCTGTTTCTCAGGAATTTTGCACATCCGCACTTAGCTTAGTAGTTGTTGTCTCACAAGATGCCTTTAAGATATTCATTCTCATGTATTCTGTCCTCCTCTTAATTTTGGAGATAACAGTGTTACGCTAACAGTGGAAAAGTGTTGTTAAGTACCGACCTTTAATTTTGACCCAGATAATGGTTACATGGAGTCAAATTATTGAGATACTGATCTGTGTGAGTAGGTTTGATATATGGTAGCTTTGATGGATCCGTCATCCTTGATATCAATACGTGTCTAAGAAAGCAAGCTTCCGATCATGCCCAGGTGCAGGCTCCTTTGTGAACTTGATGTTTTTTTTTTTATTTTTGTTTTATTATTTTTTTAAATTAATTGCTACTTACACTGCTTACAATACAATATTAATGTAGTTACTTACACTACTTACGAAAAACGTATTACTTATGCCACTTACGATACTAATGCTTACTCTATACAATACGTGTACTCACGCTACTAACAATAATAATTTATTTCTAGCGCATTACATTAAAAAATCTCAATGCTCTTACAGAATAAAAATGAGAAAAACGATAACAAAACCAATATAAGGAAAATATATTAAATTACAATGGATNATTATTAAACAAAAACGTTTTAAGCTTAGTTTTAAACGTATCCACTGATGGGGCACTTCTCACATCAAGTAGGAGGCTATTCCACAGTGCTGGCGTACAAGATGAAAAAGCGCGTCCCCCATAGGTCTTTGTCCTAAACACCAGTATGTGCAGTCGCAGGTGATCATTATTTTACAATACAACATAATTAGATTACTTGTGCTACTTACAATTCTAGCACAGCAAGATCATACCAGTTTACTCCTATCGGTAACGTAAATTCGGAATTGTGAATTACAGAAAATATGCATGGTATATATGCACCTTGTTTCTTTTCCTTTCATTTTTATTTTCACTTTCAGGGGACTATAGGGTCAAGCTGTCAAGAGATTACTAAAGAGGCAACAGAGGCTCCCACTTTTTTAGAACGATTGTAGTTGTATTTTTTTCCATTTCATAGATATGTTTTAAATACAGTAAGAAATCATTTAGTTTTGGAAAACATTTTTTCTGTCTACATAGCCAAATGTAATATTTAGCACTAGGCAAAAATTTGGAGTTTATGTTTAGAGCTGTCCGGCCTTAGACCCAGTGCTGTATCAGGCTCTAAGGGTGTCTCTTTGGCAATGACTTGGCATGACTGTAGCCATACTTTACTGACTTAATTGCGGTTCTGATATTATGGGGTATATATCTTTGAAGACGTTTTATTGAAGAAATGATTCCAAGAAAGATTAAAGGTTGAGCTGTCAGATATAGTTTAGAAAGCAGTGAGCAAGAGAAACTTTCCAGAGTCATCCATTAAATGCTCTACTTTTGTTATTCCTTTGAGGAACCATTCTTTAAAAAACACTGGTCTATTCCCAACTCTTATAAGTGAATTATACCATGAGGACGATGACTGAAAGTGATAATCTGAACTTGATGTTGGGGTCCCTGGAGTTCAGATGCTCGGCAAAGCCCTATATGTCATACTCATGATTTACTCAGAGTTACTTCAATTGGCTGAAAGAAGACAAATTTATGGCTAATTTTTAACTTGCACTCTTTTATGATAAATATAAGTAAATTTGCATGAATGCTTGAGAAAGTCAGGATTTACCCTACTCATGAGATCTGCAATGTCTTTCAAATTGTGTAATTTTGAGAGAATTTTCAAGTCAATCCTGAAATACACTCTCATTCATATGATTACCTACTACAAAATAAAATTACGACCAAACCATGCAATGGATTCAAATTTTTGTACAGAGACGTGACTCCCACTTTCTTTTGCTAACCCTGCAGCCACATATTTTTGTGTTATTCTGAGTTGACTGTAAGTAATGCTCTGAAACTAAACATGGGGAAATTGAGAGAAGTGGATAAATGTGTTAAAAGTAAAGAAAAATTATTTTAACCCATTTATCTTCTTCTTTCCCTTTCCCCACCTTTTCTTTGAGCTAAATGCTTGTAGTCAACTCACAACAACACAAAGGAATGTGGGTGGGTTAAGCCAAAAGAAGTGGGAGTGGTCTCTACTGTGCAAATATTCAAGCCCAATTTCCATGGTCTGGTGATTTTTGTAGTACACTATTATAAGACAGCAGAATGAAAAGAATAACCTGCATTAATTTTTTTGGTTCCTAGAAGGAGCTCTCCTGTGTCTAAGTCAATCGAGCCATGGGTTCATGAGATACCTCAACTGTAGTCAATAGACCAGGACGTTTGTTCTTCTTTACCTCAAAAATAGGCTCAGTCAGCTCATTTACATGATCTGCTGTCCTCAGGTTTTTGAAAATTCCAGAATATTCTGTTGTATTTGCCACTGGAAATTTTCAGAAATTCAAACTGGCGTAGGTACTTGGTTAAATTGAAGCTCCCTTGGTCAAATGGAGAGCACCTTTAACTTTGAGTACCCTGTTATCCTGTCTTTGATTTACTTCCCCCTCTTTGGCAGTTTTCCACCCCCTTAATTTGTTCTTGTACTTAAAGTACTGTACATGTAGTCCCTAACAAGGAATAACACTGAGAAGGCAAATTGTGGTTTATTTACAGTGCTCAGAATTATATTACTACTGCAGAGCTATTTATTATATTTCCAACTTATATTTCTGAGACTTACCTGCTGTGTCAATACTGTTTCAACAGCAATTAAGCTGGTTTGTAATTTACGAACGATCGCTGGAGGTCTCTTGGTCGTTACCAGTGGTATGGCCTTACGTAGCTGCTCTAGTCTTGATGAATTCGTGGAGGCCTTCAGCAAAGTTGTTTTGGTTTCATATTCCAAACTGATTGAGATCAGCGAGGGCTCTCTCTGCTTCACAGTGCAAGCAGAGACACCAACGGCTCTGAAGGAATTATMMGACATGTACAAAAGTGGAACATTGCAGAATCGCCTTCAAGAATTCCTGGTCACTGATGAAATCCAACAGCTCGCAAGCGGGGAGGACATCGAGGTGACTGTGTATATTGATGAACAGGAGTATAAGGCAGCCTACCTTGATGTAATGCTTCTACTAAAAGAAGGTAAAGTATTAAAACATATTTAAATTTCTGTCTGGCCTTAGACCCAGTGCTGTATCAGGCTCTAAGGGTGTCTCTTTGGCAATGACTTGGCAAGACTGTAGCCATACTTTAAAATTGGTCCAAAAATATTGACAGAGATGTTTAATCGCGGTTCTGATATTATGGGGTATGTATCTTTGAAGACATTTTATTGAAGAAATGATTCCAAGAAAGGTTAAAGGTTGGGTTGTCAGATCGTGTATAGTTTAGAAAGCAGTGAGTGAGAGAAACTTAATGTCTGCCCATTCTTTTTAGCCCTTATGGTTATTTTGGGCAGGCAGTACTCTATACTAATTTAATGTTTATTGTAATTATTTTATAAATTGTGAGTACAAATAAATGGTTGTTGTTGTTGTTGTTGTTGTTGTTGTTGTCTTCGTTATCAGCCACATAGAGATATTCAGAAAAAAACTAAGCTAAGCTCAGTGGGAATATGAATGATATGCCTTGTGGAAATTTTTATACTCAAATGAAGAAATGTGTAAATATGTGGGTTTGTCAATATTATACACAGAAGGGATTTGAAGAGAGGGGAGAGATGGGTGGGGCAAGGGGATAGGAGGGGATATTTTGCCTCCTCGATTTACATACAAATGACTGACTGGACTTAACAGAATAGTGACTAATTTATTGCTATTTGTTACCCACAAGTATTGTTGATGAAAACATGTAATTGGGTCTGTAGTCATGTTTCTTTCTTCTGCGACAAGTGTTAATTGCTCTCGGGTGAAAGATTTTGCTGTGTTGCTAAGGTCGCTCAACTGTGAGAGTCTGGTCAGGTAAACTAGGAAGAATCTATTTGATAAATTTTGATTTAACTACATTCAGAGCCTGATGTAAAAGAAGAGGAAAGACTCGGAGGAAGACGTCGCAAGAACTCAGACTCTTTTCTTTGCTTCAAGCCAAATGAGGATGACATGACTTTGATGAAACTAAAACATGCGGAAAACAAATGGAATTTGGAAAGGCAGTTTCTAGAAGAAGAAATCGAAAAACTAAGAAGGGAGATTGCAGTGGTAGGAAATGTACGGACAAAATTGTTTTGGCAAGAGGAAGAGAGTGGTAAGTGAGCTTAAGTGTAAGATTTATATATTATATTTTTATTTACATTTCAGTCTGTTTCTGGAGTCTACATAGCCAGAAAAAGCCTGTGGCAGCGCAGTTAGATATATATCTTTTGTTGTGACATGATGGAAGGTAATAAATCCCACTCCACCAAAATTTAAAAAAAATCTAGCTTCCTTTTGACATACAAAATGAGACTCGTTTTATCTGGTGTTGACCTTAGCAAGAGTGTGGTAGTTACATACATACACACACACACACACACACACACACACACACACATACATACATACATACATACGTTTATTTGATAAGTACGTTTAAAATAAGCAACTGTACAGCTTTTAAGTTAATTTAACTTAACTAACATTAAGATTTTACTACCATAATTTAATTTATTTGTCATTTATTACAAGATAAAGTATAATGTTGCTCTGTAATGTCGCATCTACTGCCAGGGGCGGGGAGCTCCCATATAAAAGGGAGGGGGGTGCTCATCATACCTTTTAGCGGTTAAAAACATGGTTTTGGTACCTCTTAGAGTATTCAGGTCCACACCAGGAGCTTTTAGGTACCTTTTATGGTATTGAGCCAAAACAATATGACCAGAAATAATGTGTTGTTTTAGAATTGCTACCTCTTAGGCGTGAAAAGCATTTCAAGCTACACCCAAAAATCAGGATCTTGGCACTTCTTAGGTTTTTTTTTTGGAAATTTCCAAGCACCCCTGTCCTTTTATTTAGGAGCCCCCCCGGATCTAGTAAAGCATTCACTTTATTCGAATTTTCTTTGTTACATGTAACAACCCATTGATGGACAAGACCGAAAGTGTGGGTTCTCCCGAAGGCTACAGTCCTGTTGTTGCATTGTTCCCTCCCAAAATGGCTCAACCAATCGACCATATTGCATCTTATTTTTTCTACTTATTTCAAGACTACTTTGTGCTATTCTTTATTCTTTGGGAACTGCTCGTTTATTAGATGATTTTAGTAGTAGGGGTTGGACTTAGTCTGGTTTCATGGACTGAGAGGCATTTTTTCTTGGATGGACACGCCCATGACGGTTGGGTCTTCGTGTGCCGCTACACAAGAACTGATACAAAACTGAAAGAAATACTCCTTGTCTTGGTGCGTCCGCACACTAGGACTTAACCCCCTCACTAACATTATGATAAGTTTGTTGTGAGTCGCTGTTGCCGGAGATAAGAGAACAGTGAATGATCATTCTGTTTTAACAAGGTCTATTCATTGTCCACCTGCGTTATCTTTAACAGCTCAAGTAACTGAAGACCTTGAAAGACCTAGAGAAAGGCGTCGGAGAAATTCTGATTCTAGTTTGTATTGCAAGGCGAGGGACGCGACGACTGTACAGAGTGAAAGGGAAGCAGAAACAAAACATCTGGACTCCGAGAAATATGAGTTCGTTCAGAGCTATCTACAGAACATCCAAGAAACGCACAGTATGACAACAGAGACGACTGATAGTGGAATAAGAACACATGGTGAACCATCTGATCTTGAAATGCAAGACATCTCTGGTAACTATAATTTATTAATAATTGATTGTTTGGGTTCACAAATATCAAACAATTGTTAGCCAAAATGGATGTAAACAGCGCAGGTTATAGAGCAGAGGCGAGTTGCTACTATGAGGACAATAATTCTCTTAGGAATTTAATACGTCTAGGAATACTTGCCGAGCCTTAAGATGCCTGATACCGCACGTTCTTTAAAATTCTAGCTATGAAACGTAGGAAATGTTGCAATGTCCGTGTAGTAATGCTGTTAATGCTGGTATGTTGGCTGGAGAGTGTAGCAAGCCTAACCAGGCCTAAACTTGATACGAAACTTGAGTAGAACAAATTTAGTGAGCAACCGATCAAAAGCTGCAGCTACTGGCCAGTTAATCTTTGATAATTACCTCTTCCTCGGGAAACCGGTTGATATTTGTTTTCCAAGTATGTCAATGTTTCCTAAGGAGGAACAGAAGGAAACATTGAGAATTGATGGAAACAAAACTAACTGGCCTTTTAGTCATTTGTTATAAAGCACAACGAAAACAAATTAGTAGAGGCGGTCGTCGGTCAACATTCGCGGATAACATTGCACTGTTACCCTCTTTCGTCATAGATTTACGATGTTGCCCGCTCAGTGACGTTCGGTGGGAAACAGTTTTATCGTTAAATGTGACATGATTGTTAGAATTACAATCAAATTTAAGACGGGAAAATAAATGTGTCGAAAAAAAAGATTAGTTCTTTCTAAACGCTTATGAAGACAAAATTCGGCACTGAAAATTTTTCCATCCGTTGTTGTATTACAGGTACCAGTAAGAACAAATGAATGACATTCTTGCTTTCTGTTTATCAGTATTGTTCAATGTGTACTGGTTTCGTCTTAAAGGTTTTTTTCGGTCGACAGATCGCTGTGACAGAAAACAGGGGGACCAAATCGACCTAGCCTGCGTAACAGACGTAAAACAGGGATGAGGGAAATTAAAGGGAGAGCGAGAGCTGGGATAGAAGGAGCGGGGAGAGGACTGAGGAATGTGTTCCTTCCCCTTCTTTCGCGCGTTTTTTTGTCTCCCTACCTTTTCCCCGTTTATGTCTGCAAAGCAGGCTAAATCGACCGTCATAACGAATAAATCGATTTCTTATATAGGCCCTCTCAGGCCCTCATTTCATTAGTCCTTAGACAAAAAGGGATAAATATCTTAGCTTTGGATGCCACATACGCCATTCATCAACAATTCAGTAAAATTATTGGATTTCAGCTTCGCGTGATTGCGTGAATTATAAACTAGACTCCTGGATTTCTTATCTCCCTTGGTTTTGGTTTCTCGCTATCATGCAAAAAGCGACTCATCATGATCCAGCATGGTAAAACAAGTTATATTCCGTTATAAAAGAAATAATGGTTTTTTTCCCTTTCTTAGATCACCCATTTCAACTTTGCTTGAAAGATCTTAGAGAAGATGTCATCCGTGAACTGAAAACAGGACTAGCTGGCGACCAAGTTGCTGCGAGACATATTTATAAATCATTTGGTCTCAAAAACCCTTTTCACCGATCGGTGAATATTTTCGAATTATTTCCTGACACTCCTGTGAAGTTATTGAAAGACGTTCTCGAGGCTTTACAGCTGTATGACCTGGTAGAATTGCTGGAGAAACCGCAGAAACCGCAACCTGTCAGATCGCTACAGCCCGATCTTCCTTTACAAGAGATGGAGAAACTGAGGAAAACTATTGATCCTCGTCCCACAACATATCATAGTAATGTTGCTGTTCTGATTATTACTGACGAAAACAGTCATCATACGAAAGGGATTGAAAAGTTTTTCAAAGGTCTCAGCTCAAAGAGCGATGTGACTTTATTTGAATGGAAAACAGAGGCTTCCGTAGAATTACAATTACTAGATTGGTGTAAGACACTGTATAAAACAGAGGCTCAAAGGATGGAACAGGAGGCGCAGAAGGAAATGGAGACCAATGAGACGGCTGTGTCAGCGGTCATAGAGAGGTGGATACACAACCAAGGTTGGTGACAATGAAAATAAAATATTTTTTACTTTTTATGAACCTGAACCTGACCTTGCCTCTAAAGTAATTTCGTTATATTTGACTAACATCAATATATTTACTGAGTTTCCATTTCTTACATTCCAAGATAATCTGGTCGTGTTTACTTCTGTGAACAAGGGGGTGGAGTCATAGGTGTGAAATGCTTAGTGGTGATGAATTCGTAATATCCTAGCAAGTGTTCGAGAATAAACGAACAAGAGTAGTACAGTCTGGGGTTGGGATGAATTATCATTCTTAGGGATAAAATGAAAAGCAGATATTTGAGAAGGGCGAAGACAGAAACAACGATACCAATGTCCAACTTTCGTTTAAAAGAAAACTTTCCAAGACTTTGCGCTAGCCTGGCGTGTTCCTCACTTTTTGGTAACATTTCTCACGTGTCTAAAGATTGTGCTCACGGAAGCTTGTACCGAGCGCGTGTGGGCAGTTTTTCCCGACCTGCTCACATTAACCCGTCCGCTCCTACAAAAATGCCCGCTAATCTCGCTATGCTGTTTTCTCTACATTTAACACAGTGGTACGTTTGTAACGGTATTAAGAAAGACCGCTGATCTTTGTTCTTTTTGTACCATTTTTCTTTAGGAAAGTATTCATTGTTTGCTGTGTTTGTAACCTGGACAGCCAGGCCGCATGAATTTACCGATTTTATTGGAGCGGCAATACGAATTTTGGTGTCCGGAATTCCAGACAAAATTAAATTTGTTATGGGGAGCTCGATCCCAATCAGTGTCCCAGAATCTTCAGAGAGTCTCGTGGTAATCGCTCGTGACGAATGGCTGATCCCTGAATCTCTGATGCTGGATATTCTTAACAAGCGCTGGCAGACGCTGGACCTGATATCAATGGTGGAAGAGTTAAAAAGGTCTGTGAGTAAAGAATTTAACAGGCTTGGGTATCGGAAGCAATGGCTCAGCCAGTTCAATCTTCAAATGGTATCAGTAAAAGACCGTTTGTCGTCTCGTCCAAGATTTAAAAGGGAGGAGGATCTGATTGACAGTGCGTAAGTTAATTGTCTTGATAGTTCTATATCTCACACAGCTCCAAGTGATCTTATGGGTGGAAATTTGCTGGCTTTCAAAAAACCAAAAAAAAGAACCAAATAAAATATCGTAGATAGCTTAAATTATTGATTCTTAAACCATTCGTCACTCAGATAAATAGCCTTATAAGGTATGATACATCATGTTCAGTAAAAGGTGTGGATAGTTAACATTCTTAACTCTTCCGCCTGACCGAGAGACACCTTGTCCGTCTAACTTGTGGTTATAACAACTCGATGCCGAAAGTCTGAACATTACCTCCACCCTCCCCCCACCCGCCACCTGAGTCCGCCATTGAGTACTTGGTTCTGACATGAAACTCGAAACATTTAGCTTTTGTGAAATTATAGTTGGTATCAACTTTAAAGACTTAGCTCTTGATAGACGGTCACACAGAAGAAAAAAGGCTCAGAATCATTTTCTAGTATCCAGGATTTTGAAAAGTTTTTATCAGATGATGTGATTTACTAGCTCTTAGTGTATTTATTGGTGTAAAGTCTCGAAGTGGCCAATGATACCTTAGGCGGTGTAGGAGGGTATGAATGGAGTCACGGAAAACCTGATAGCTGAGAATTGGCCAGAAAATGGCTGTACTTAAGGCCCCGTTCACACTTCTTCGGAGGAATTTAAAAACGTAACAATCAGCGGTAATTTTAGATTTGTGTTTGAGGAAAACTCGACCAGGGAAATCACATGATTATCTTCTCGTCATCGTGTTTTCAAAATGTTTTTCTTCCACACTAAAACACAAACCTTGGTTTTCAAATTTCTCCGGTTTGAAGAACGTTTTGAAAAGCTCTCTTTGGGTGACGGATTAGTGTGGACTGTAGGCCTAACTGTAGAAATAAAGCTGTGTTTTCAAATATCTCCGCCGTAGTGTGGACGAGACCTAATATAATGCACGGTACATTGTACTTTTTCTTGTGCGGCAACAGACTAGTGATGTGTTTGATATGACTTAGAACACGCTTTTGAAATGACATTGTCCGGGATGATCGTGTTTTAATAACTACCGCTGTGAGTTTGCTAATATTATCTTGCAAAATAAAGAAGAAAACGCCGAGGATGATGAAACGAAAA